TTGACATGAATAAATTCAGACCACAATGCATGCAGTGGTGACACTGTGCATATCATTAACTGTAAAAGTTAATTGMTTCCTTATTTGTGGTGCATTCACAGTCCAGAAAAAAAAGTCAGGGATTGGAGTATCTAACTTGCTGCTGATCACCAGTCAAGCTGTTYAAGTTGAACTAAAGCCAGTTCAGGTAACATGTATTTGATAAAAAAGGGTTCCTTTAGTTTTAGTGTCAGCTTGTTTTTACAGCTTGTTGTGAGGTAGTTGAAGCCCAAAATATTCTCTAGTGTTCCCATTTGGCTAGTTTTTACTGTATTTTTTTTATCTAAGTTAAACACTTTCCTCATAATGTTTTACTTCCACATTTCTCTTTTAGTTTATAACTTAGAGATTGACTGGGAGACATGACGGTACCTGACGGTGCTGCAGTTGTAAGATGTTAAACATGGTAAAACTTGTCAATCATATCAAAGTGAGGATCGGGTAATGAGTGGAATGATTATTTTATTTTATTTTAGGAGAACGCCTTTATTTTGTGCTTTGATCACTGGCGCATTAAAACCTTCAACAAATGGCAAGAGTTGGTCTTCTTGAGACATGAAAGTGAAGCATCTTTCGAGTATTTCATGTGTAGTCTGTGCAAGTTTTCCCTCTCAGTTTGTCAAACAGACCTGAAACGGGGAGTTCATTTCTCTTGGCATGGGGTTATAAACCCCAGTCAGGTGCAGGTACGGACGTGCTGGTGCGCCCAGGCATGACCTTTTTGAGTTCGATGCCGTGTAGCAACGCCAACTACCTAAACAAACATTACTTTTATCAATTTTTAAGTTCAAACCATAGTTAGTACGACAATTTCACAGGGCTAGACMGAGCGTTGATGTTGGTTAATGTGAGTTAATGATATTTCCAGGAGTTTCCTATAAGGACGTTTAGTGCAGCATTTTATTTTATTTAGCTGAGCTCCAGGTTGGGTTACTGCAGTTATTCTTGATATAAGGTTTGCTGTAGTCTCCACCTGACAGACTGTATTATATGCTCCATTACCAGCAGCAAGTGGACACACACACACACACACACACACACACACACACACACACACACACACACACACACACACACACACACACACACACACACACACACACTCTCTAAACATCCTTGTCAGTGCTACACATTCATTGTGTTCTTACTGGACTGCGATTGTTTTCATAAAAGACTTTGATATTTCTCAGAATACCACTATATGTTCACACTTATTTTTAGATTTGTGGAGCGTTAAGCTCCTTATTTTGTGCTGAACTGAGCTGTTTTTGTGCCTTGTAGAAGGTTGACACAATAACACCAACAATTGTGTAACCCAAAACAGCCTCATGGAGAAACAAAGTGCTTAAACCAACACCAGCACAGTCCCTGCACAACTTGTACTGTTAGTGTTAGGTGTTCTAATTTCTGCAGGTCGTTCTCTTCACTTTCTATAATTCATATATTGATTTGCATATTTTGCACTCTGCTGCTGTTATTTTGTGCAGAATGACCTCCATTGATCCATGTTTCTGTCATATTGCAGAATAAGCTCTGATCTGAGACTATTACCAGGAGCAAATCCAGAGATAGATGCTTGTCTTATCAAAGGCAGTTAGTTTACAGCTTTAGTATTAAATCTATGTAGACAGAAATATTACCGTCTTGTATTTATCCAGAATGTAATTTCTGGACTCTGTAATCTCTGGAGGTCTGGTTATTTGATTTGCCTCTTAAGTTCACACAACTCTCCTCAACGCGTTGCTCTTTTACGTGTCTGCTCTTGTCGATTAGCAGATCAGAAGTAAAATGATGACATACCTGAGTCATCAGTGGGAAGGCCTGACTGCGGCCTCCTTGTTTATGCGCACGTTCCTGCACATGGCTAGATTATTAGGGATTAAGAGAGCAGAAATCTTAAAGCTTTCTTGAATTGAAATCAAGCTGACAGCACTGTCCAAAAGTACTTTTCCCTTTTCAAACTCTTCATTGTTCAAATCTGCAATGTTAATAATATACACTTCTTTCATGATAACCCCCATTTCATGTGTCTCCTCTTCTCTTGTTTCCCATCTTGGTCCCCTGTAAAGAAAGTATACTGCCTCTACCTTCATTGTCTCATCTTATCAGACATCTTGCTTTACCGGTCTCTCATTTAAAGCTTGCACTCCCACCTCACTCTGCCTTACTTCTTTGGCCTGCTAAACCATCTGCACTTTTAGCTTCCTTTGGCTTTAGTCAACAGCAGCAGTTTCTGTTGACCTTCCGTACCAAAAGCGATTGTAGTTAACCCAAGCCTCTGCTGATCCGGTATGAAAATCCTGTGTGTGATGATCCGCTTGTTTCATTTGACAAGTTTAACTTCAGATATTCTTGTTGTTGTAACCCTGCCCAGGCTTTGCTGAGAGTACCTGAGCTTGTGGCTCACCCTGTGTATGGGTTATGCTTCATTGTATAACTAACCCAATTATGGACCATGAATAAATAAGGTGTAGGTGTAGATTTTTAAATAAGCCATTTAGCCATCTGTAAAACAAAGGCCTGATAAAACCAYTCAACCCCTCACATTACTTTTCAAGGTGTCATCAACCATTATAAGTTTAATCTTTTACTTCTCTGATCCTGGATTAAGAACATTGACTTGAACRGATTATCATCTTTGGACTTTATATTTATTAACTTGTATGTCCTTTCTTTGAAGTTGTTTATAACATCACCTTGCAATTCTTTGCAGATGACGTTCAAAATGACCTCCGTCTAAAAATAAATAAAGATGGTACGAGTCTGCTAAACTGTTGAAAGAATGTCAAGAATTTGGATGGAAATGAATTTCTGAAGACTCAATCAAAATAAAATTGAAGTTGAAGTCGATACTGTTTTTGGTTGTTTGCCTTATTAGCACCCCATGTTAGGTTTTTGACAGTTCTTAAAGCTACACAAACAGATGACATCTGTGTTCAACACCTCAGTTTATATCATGAATTTCACATTAAAAAAGGCGAAAGAGCTTGTTTAGATGTCACCCCTAAAATCTGTACAGGCTCTGTCTCRGTATGAGAGGTGCTTGATTCCTTAAAAAAAATTAGTACTCATCTTTTTAACACATGCTGATTGTTTTGCTATTAAATGAGCAGAGAGGGATGATGTGYAGCTTTGAGGAAGCTCCTAACTGTGGTGGTTTGTGTTGATGGAGCAGTTTGCGCTTGATGTTTGCCTCTGATGTGTGTGAGTCTGTGCGCGCGCGTGCTCCAGTTTTTGATTTTCCGTGCCGTCTGTGCTGGTAGACGTGAGCATTACTCTCACTTCCGCCTTCTGATGTTGCCTTTCTGAAGCCCTAAGCAGCTTTATAATGAGAAGAGAGCGCAGTCTCGTATCATCTAAAGGCCTTCAACAGGATGCTTTCACTGTAGGCTCCCTGTTTTCAGCAGCAACTTCACACTGAATGTGGAAACGAGGCAAAGAGCACTTTGCATTCAATCTGTCAACATAAAGCTATAAATAGCGTGGCCTACTCAAGAGGAAAAAAGCCCCACATCTTTCACACACACACACACAAAACACTGTTTCAGGCTCCCAGCTAAGATGCTGAGTTTCTCCCTAAAGATTTGGTCGAATATTTTCACTCTATTAACCCATCAAATTACGAAAAGACAGGGTGTTGACGTCGAGGGTTTTATTTTGGCGCGTTTAACCAGGCATGACATCCTCATGAGGCCGCCTACATGCCGGTGGACACACAGAGCAGGCGTGTTGGCGCAGATGGTGAATCAGCGTGGTAGATTCYGTTTTCATACGAAACTGAGGCTGTTTCTGCCCCCGCACCAAACCTCCATCCACACATCATGTTAAAACATTCACACACTTGAAATCTGAGGTGTGGTTTTGTTCTGCTTCACATCTTGATCGTTTAAAGGTMTTTCAGACTCGTAGCTTACAGCACTATTAAATCTACTCTAGTGTAGTGTTAATGTACATAATTTGTGCTTTATTCTAATATTATGTAGTTTTTGGTAGCTATAAACTGTCAGCATGGACTAAATACAGTTCTTTGCAAAGTTTTTTAATTTACCAGGGAAAAACTCACCTTTTTTGTGGAATGTTTATTTTTAATCATCTATAATCAGGTGGACTGCAACATTTTGATAGAGAAGTAATGGCAATCTACTGGATTATCTGATGTCTGCTTTAATCTATAAAAAGTTCTGATTTTCTTTCTGTTTTTTTAATCATGCAAAGTGAATGTTTGTGTTTTGCAGTGTTGAAGTAATGTGTCTTTAGCTCTTTTTGGAACATTTTAGTTTTATACATAAGCAGGTAAAAAAAAATTGCTGAATAGAATGTAATCTGCTGAAGGAGACACAAAAGATTAAACAGCAAAAATTGTGTTTTTTTTTTCCTGATTCATTTATTTTTGTCATCAGAAATTTAGTGATTATCATTTTGTGTGACAGCTACACACACCTTGTTGATTAATTCATGGTGAGGTTCATCAGGTTTAGCAGTGTGTTGGCTCTTCTTAACCAAATCAGCCTGTCGCTCCCACAAACTGGGGATGTGAGAACACAGATTCAGAGTGAAAACTTTTACCTTGAAAACAATAAATAAAGTGTAGCTTCTTTGTGTGGTTGTGAAAGTAACGAATCAAGACAGAGGAAAGAAACAGCTGAAAGTAAAAATGAGTTCTAAGCGTTTCATTGTTGCTCAACCAAATAAAAACCCAAATATGCTGTTTGCAAACCTCTCAACTTTTTAGTGATGTTACAGTGATAATTTCTCAGACCTAAAAGTAGTCAGTCTGTTGATCTGACTTCCTTCTTACCTTTTTATGTTGAAGAGCTTCTCATGTGACAAACAGTACAGTTTGTCTTTGAGTCTAAAATACTCTGAACCCATTCTGCTACCACCACTGCTTAAKTGTGTGCTGCTTTTTCTGCGAGACTGGATTTAATTGTAGCTCGGAGGGACGAGCYAAGCTGAATCACACACATTCACTTCTGAATGATCTCATCATGTAGGTCTTTCCTTGCAGCAGCGTTGAAGCGGATTACAGCAGTCTTGAAWGTACAGCATGAGCCAGAAACCTCAAAAGCACAGAGATGGTGATTTTTGAAGTAGATTTCAACCGTTTGTCACAGCCTAGTTACCAGTTAAACTAAAAAGAAAATAGATAGGAGGAATTGCTGTATCAAATTAGTAGACCATGAAAACCTAGATTTATATTGTAATGTTTTTATCTCACCAGYTTTGATTTTGCTTTGAGAATAAATATGTTCAATATTTCATGATTTTAACATGTAGCTAAGAAGCAGAGCATCATAGCTGCAAGAAAACCCCACATGTGCCTCATTCAACTCCTTTTTTTGTGATAATTATCTTGTAGTGGTAATTACTAAAACTGTTGGTTTATTACATTTTTGACCCAAAATTAAGAAAGTGAAATTAAAACTTACAGCATCTTTTACTTGTGGCATAAATTTAAAGGTGGTCTCYTTTCTTCTTATTTATTAATTCACTACAAACTTTTGTCGGCTCAAAATGCCAGCATACTGCAGTCTTGATCTCTGTTRTTAGTCAGGTAGTGGTCATACGCTGTGGTTTCCAGCTACTGGGAGTAATGCATAGTTGTCTCCCATGATGCCTTGCTGCAGATGTCATCTAGGTCAAACCAGTTTTGTTAGGGTTAAGACCAAACCACAATCGGTTAAGAAGAAGAAAAGGCTCCATCCGATCCAAGAAGAAGAGCGTATCTATTTTATTTTTGAGTTAAAGTTAGTTTTCTATTTTTATTTTTTACTTCTGCTACATATAATTAACTACCCGTAATTTCTTTGTGTTTTATTTTTATTCCCATTGTCTCATTCCATCTTGTTTATCTTCCATGCCCATGCCCCTCAGCTCTCCCTGTTGTTTTGGTTTTGAAGTTTCAGGATTCAGAGTGTATTCGCATTCATGCATGACCAGCACCTCTGCAAGTGCGGATCATTTGTATGCAGGCAGGCGAACAGGATAAAGCCTCGTGGTAATGGTCTCACAGTCTACTGCGCTTCTACACTGAATTGGAGCTGCACAACTTGTGAAAGGAGACTGTGGCTTTCAGAAATCCTGTTGAGTTTGAAACTGAAAGCAATGAGAGACCTTGCGTTTCATTGTATGCATAAAATAAATGTTTGGACCAGTTTTAGTTGTAGACTCGTTAAAATAAGTATTCCTAATCAGCAGTGTGAGTGAAGTGTGCTACAGAAGCAGGGAGACTTGTGGACAACCTGAATCAGAGGAAGTGTTACACAATAGGAAATGTCATACTCCTTATGCAAGTCTGTTTGTTGGGTAATAATAAAAAAACTCTGCAATTAGCCTCTAATTCACGAGATACATTTTGTAGTTGGAAAAAACAACTTTCATGCTTAGTGCTGTTTGTAGACTTTCTTGAAATGTTACAGTTTAAAGGGGAACTAAGATAAGATGCAGTTTTTTTTGTCATAGGTTGTGTGCAGTAAGACTGTTCTAAATACACACGAGTAACTTTAAAGAAAGAAGAAAGATTAATGCTTCTGCTTTCAGTCAGCTCGTGACAGTTGAGTGTTTTGTTAGAAGMAAAGTTTGATGTTTTGTCACCTTTTGACCTTTTGCTTTAGAGACTGACCTCTGCTGGAGGACTGTGACCCAGGGGTCACCTCCCAGGCTGGGTTTCCCTGATCCTGACCGCCAGTTACACAACTCTACTACTGGTAAGTCTCGTRCAGTCTGTTGCCTTATCAGTACATAAACATATAGTTGTATACCTCGTATAGCTTAAGTGCTGTAGTAGTTCTCTTTTTTTATACTGGCTTTTGAAATACCCTCACTTAGTGCATGTCTAAAGTGCTCTATGGAAGAAAAAAAYGGTAAATTTAAAATCTTTAATCTGTAGGAACAAGATATTTGAGTTTTAAGCCAATCCCAGTTTGTGAAAATCAAAACTCAGTGTACACACATGTGCATCTTAGCAATATTAAAAGATGAAGTTCAAATGCAGAGTTGTAAAGTAATTAAGTACAAATACTTTATTACTGTACTTAAGTAGAATTTTTGGGGAGCTGTACTTTACTTGAGTAATTATTTTTCAACATACTTTTTACTTTTACTCATTACATTTTTACACAGTTATCTGTACTTTATACTCACTACGTTTTTTAAAAAGGTAAGAAGTAGAAAGTCATCACTCCTATTTTATTCTGAGTTGTTATTACTTAAAAAAACTATCCTGATAAATTGTGTCTCTTGGACAGAGTGAATTTAATTTTGGTTGGATGAGAAGTATAAATACTATTCTGACACCATATTAGCTTGTACACAACCCATCACAGCTGCACGCCGTTACAAAAAAATATTTTTTGAGAAGTCGCCTCCCAATAAATATCATTTTGGAAAACCTAACTGCTCACTTTTAATACTTAAGTAGATTTTGTGCCAGAAATTTACTTTTGATACTTAAGTTAAAAAAAAAAATCAGATACTTTGACTTTTACTCAAGTAATATTTATAGAGAAGACGTTAACTTTTACCAAAGTATTTTTATGATAAGATACTTGTACATTTACTCAAGTATCACTGTGAGGTACTTTATACAACACTGTTCCAAGTGTTTTATTCMTTTTTCTCATCAGTAGTTAAAATAATATTACCTAAAAGCACAAGCATTTTACTCAGTAAGTAAACCTCTTGATTAAACATGCTTATTTTAGTGCCAAGACTTAAACATTTTTTTAATTGCTTTTGTATTTTACTTTCAGTGTGAATGCTGCTGTTATGGTAAAATATTACTTTTTAAATCTTAACCTATTGTCCTTGTGATTTGTAGCCCAACAACAGTGATATCATGAGGACATTAAGGTGTAATTTAATTGAATCGCTTCATTAAAAAATGTAACTATAATACAGTAATTAAAAAAAAAACTTTGACTATATTCTAAATAGGAAAAAAAATGAGTCTAATAAAACTACTTAATTTTCTTATTATGACATTTTATTCATAAAGCTTCGTAAGTAAAACTGTTTTTATCTTCACCTGCAGATGTAAGCTTGAAATAGCTCCTTTGACATTTGCATGTCTGAATTATATTTGTCCATGCAAAGTTTCACCAAAAACCTTTATCTGACACTTTGTTCTGCATCCAGGTTACGGTTTAATTTTCTATGTTTWTTTATCTATTTATATCCAAATGTAGATGTAACTCTGTTATCTGTCCTAATTTGAATAAASCACAGAGCATGAATTTCAAATTACTTTAAAGGTATATATTTTGTCCTTCCTGTTTGTGTGCATGTTTTTTTCCAAACCATTGTTTCCAAGTAGTTTAGGTCACAGTCCACAAGGTGAACCTTTMGAATGAATGTTTTAAGTTTTCAAAGTTGAGTTAGAATTTTTTATATTTGTTTTTTCAAAGGCAGAAATGTTCACCCTTATGTAAGCTCAGCACAAATAAGAGCAAATATAAACRGTTTTTAACTTAAATGTAACAAATGTGCAACCCACTGTCCATTCTGCATMTGTGTGGTTCCTGTTGTCTTGTTTTAACCAGAATGAAGCTGTCACTGAATCGTTTTTAATTTACATTTCTATAAGTCGGGTGAAAAGAAAAAAAAACTTGCATAGATTATTTCTAATGACCTGTATTGGTTAAATTACAGCCTACTATATAAAAAAACAACCACTTTATTTGATTGAAGTTCAAACACAATCAAAAACCCTGTGGTAGTAGCTTGTGTCTACAKACACAAACACATCATGAAGCCAGACTGCCTTTCATTTACGCCTGTTGTAAACCTGTTGTGTTGTGGTGGACTGGTCAGGAAATGAAGTGCATTGTTGACCATAAAAAGGAGTTGAATCATGCAGGTGCTCCTGACTTCCTGTTTCTCCCTTCAAGGCCGACATGTTTATGTAACTGGAGGGTTAACTTCAGACCACAAACTGGCATCTTAGACCTAAGACTTGTACAGTTACATCTGAAAGAGACCTTTTCACTGGATTAATCCACATTTTTGGTATTTTGTGCGAAAGGTTGCACTTAATCTAAGTTCCTTCCATTTCCTCACTCTTTTTGGCTCACCATTGTTCCTCCTTGCTAGCATGTTTGCTCATCCTCGTTGTCAAAAAGAAAAATAAACAGAATAAACAAACAATAGAACAGTAGAGCCAATCAAGCCTATTGTTAGTCGATGGCCCTCTTTTTGCATGTGACTAACCTGTTTGTCCATGTGGAGGCAGTGCTTATAAGGCTGAGTTCACCTGAAGCTCATCAGACTGAAGAAGTCTCTTGGAGGAGAGACGAAATGTTTCACTAAAGAACCCATCCAGAGGACCTACTTATTTTTTCTTTTTGATTTTTTTTTTCTACCTGGATTATTGAGATGCATCAGGACGTCATCCTTGTTACGTTTTCCTCTTTTATCTCCTTAGTGATTGTTACGCAGACACTCAGCTATCATTCAGTTGGTTAGAAATCGATTGTTGGAATACCGTTGTTTTGACAGCGAGGCCTCAGGTGACATACGGTCCATGTGTGACCTCTGATGTGTTTGTCTTTATAGGCTGCTTTATTCTGAGCTAAATCCATTCAGCGGAACATCCTGAATGAATGGAAACCGTTGTCGTTTGCTCACGACCCTGTGGCGGTGCATGGAAACAAGATATATGGTGCATTATACAAGGATGGAGCTCAGTTAAAACCTTAGCTCTGTGTGAATAGATTCAGGGTGGATTAGGTTTGCAAAGCCAAGAAGGGAGGGGGGGGGGGGGGGGGTTCAGTCTCCTGAGGTGAAGCTTTTCTCAAATATGGGTCAATACTGCCTCCAGCTGGTGATGCCTTGCACTGTCTGAGTAGGTGGTAGATTATGCAGAAAAAGTACATTTTTGCAAGGTTATGAACTCTAGAATGAATCCCAGTCAGTTTTTCTGAGCGTCTTTACTCGTCAGAACACTTGAATAAAGAGTCACCGGACTTGACTCAGCAGATGCAAGACACCCTGGCCTCTCGCTGTTAGCAGAGCAGGTAATCTGAGATGATATGTCTGAGTGGATGTAATATGTGGAGTGGTTTATGTCAGCTAAAAGCTCCCAGCTTCTCTTTGTGTATCTATTATTTATATCACTGGAGGTTTGACACCGTGTAACTTCCTTCTGGAAGATGCTCATTTGACAGCCGGTCGTTCCAGTGCAGGTGCAAACATCACTCAAAAACAATTTGCAGAGTTGACGTTTAAATGTGTGTTACTTTATGAGCACATTCATTTTAAATATCTTTATTTAAACCATTCATGGTGCTTTTGGATCTTGCATCAGTTCTTCTCCTTCTAGTGAAAATGTAATTGTTTAGTAGGTGTTTAGAGTTTTGTAGCAGAGAAGGTTTTTTTTTAATAAAGTGTCTGTAGTTGTAGAACTAGAAGCAACAAAATGCTGGTAATGACTGGTTTGGGAGTGGCCCTCCACACCATCCTGTCCTTGAAGGCGCAGCTCCTTTCACCCTCCAGATGGCGCTCTTCTCCCACTGATTGCTATTCCAAGGACTTGTCAACCTGACACTCACCATCCCTCTAAAACCTCCTCTGAGCCCCACCCAAAATCCTGTTTGAGTAAAACTAACTAAAACACATTTAAGGTGATAATCCTTAATGTTCTTTTATTTTATGCCTGACTGAGTTTGTCTCCCAGATTTGCTCCTGAGCAAGTTCTGATCCGGTTTGGATATGTTMACATTGGTGAGTCACATTCAGTCCGAAGGTCAGTGAAGTAATGATGGCTCAGGGCTGTTTGTGCAGGAGAACGGGAGCTCTGTGTGAATGGATTCAGGAGGCAGCTGCCCCAGAGGGAGGTGCTGCTTAAGAGGACGACAGTGAGTCAATGCGTCCTCTTTAATGATTTCCTAACAACCCAAGAAGGAGTCAGAGGACTCTCAAGGGCAGGCCGAGGAGYGCTTATTCATTAAGCAGATGTTGGAATAAAAGAAGCAGGAAGTTTATTTTAAAAACATCATAATGCTTGTTGCAAGTCTTTCTCACTTTATATCTTTTCACTACAGGAAAGGATCATTTAGACCCACGTTGTGTTCACACAGCCGCCTTTTTTTTTGCTTCTTGTTTTAATCAATCTGAAATTAAAGCCTTCCAGGCTGTCAGCAGCTCCCTGTGTGTTTTTGACGGGATAAAGTGTTGTATTGGTGAGAAGAGAGAGGTGCTAAGAGCCTCTCCATTGAGCTCCATTTCAATGGAGCTGGCTTTTTTTTTTTTTTTTTTTGCAGACTTGTGTATGTGCCTGTTGCCATAGTTACCGACTTTRATCAGGTGCCGTCCAAAAAGAAGGAGCTTTAGCTGAGGACGAGGAGCTCCTGCTTTCATCCTGCCTCTCTGGTGTGATTCTCTGGACAGGCTGTCGGCCTCATGATGAGGGCTCATTTTGTCAGATGTTGGGGTTTAGGGGGTGTTTTTAGCTTCAGCTGGAAGATGAGACGGCTGATACTGGATGCCACCTGCAGATCAGCTCATACTTCCCAGTTTTGCTGTTTTTTTGCTTGGATCTYGGAGAGGAGGAGGGGTATTAGTCGGTGTTTACTCGAGTGCAGGAGGACAGGGGCGTGGCAAATGAGGAAATAGAGTTCACCCTCGTAAACAAACAAATGGTAGTCGGCCCTCTCCCCGACTTTTCCTCGTGCCCTCCAAGCCATTTTTGGTCAGCTGGGCTGAGGAGAAA